ATACATGCATTTGTATTTGTCTAGAATTAATTTCAAAAATGTATGTGACAAAATACTGATACTCCAGTTACAGAGTTGTACTTTGTAGGCCAGTTTGACAATATAATTATTGATTTGTCCACTGAACATGTTCTACTCATCTACATCGACATAAGGTATAAGAGAATTGTACATGTTCAGAGCAGGTGCTACATTTGCTGAAAACAGCATAGTAGCTCATAATGTGTATTTTGCCTTATTTTCTGGAGGGATTACTACTATATATGGCAAAATAAAAAGAAAAGAGAAACACATTTGATAAAAAATAGAGGTTTAAACTGTGAATATAAGTAATTTGTAAGTTCATAGTCAATACAGAAAAGGAAAGAATTGTGTTAGTCAATTTCTTTCATGTGTTTCAACCATTCTTTTGGTTATTCTTACAATGACCTTGAAATATAGTACGTGGTTTGTGTTGAGAAATATACATTGTATACGAAAAACTTTTGATGATTATTTAGGAGGTTCTAGAGATTATGCAAATAAAATACTAAAACTTTCAAATTAAAATAAGTATCAGTTATTTATATCATGGAACTCACGTTTCATGCAAATACTTTATTTAAATAATCTGAAATGTTATATACAGCATACTTTTCACATTTACTAAAAGATTGCCAAATTTTGAGAAGATACACAGGAGAATGAACAATTATTACCATCATCAGTATTGTTGCACAATGAACCAAGCCCATTTTTGGTTGTGGTACGTGTGCTTTTAGGGTTACAAGCGAGTAGATATCTCAAAACCAGTTTAAAACAAAGGGAAAGATATTTTGGGTTTTGGAATAGTTAAGGATTCTGCCTATGGAGTGGGAACTATGGGTAGGCAACTGATATGGTTTCTGACTGATTTACAGCTGGCTCTCTCTCTCTCTGGTAGACTTCAAGTTGACTCTTACTGGCAGCCCAGACAAACTGTCCTTTTTTTTTCTTTACATCAGTTCTTATACTGGTTGTTATTCATCGTTTTGATTCTTGTTTTAATGTGATTGGCAGCAACTGAATTTGTTTGTCAAAACATTTGTGAGAAACCAAGACAGAATTGAACTCCATTCAATGATTTAACTTACAACATAGGTCAGTATTACTGATTGTTAATTTAAAATGATGATAATCGCTCAGTTAATTCTCATTTACTAACTTCCGAGATGATAAATTACCTCTGCACCAAGAAATGCTTGCACATCTGCCTATGAGATTTGCATGCCACTAGCCTTGAGCTAGCTCCCACCTAAAGTCATGTGTTTAAAGGAACTGTGCTTGTGTATGATGATGTCACCCTGCAATAATAACCCTCCAACAATAGGAGGAGATATTTCTTGTCTGACTTCAATTTAATGAGATTTCCATTTTTTTAATGAATTTTTCTGGGGGCTTTTGTTTCAAAGGTGTTAATTTTTTCCCTAATTGTCAAATGATGATATTACTTACTCAGGCCTTATTTCTACTATGGCTCCTTATCTGTTAGGGACATTGCAGCCATTGTTAAATGTGTTGTGGTTTGCCACATGATTATTGGACCTCCTGCTACCATCCTGTCAGCTGATGTTCTTTTTGATCAGTCAGGAATAATCTATTGGACTACAAATTTAACCTGATTTGCTTTGGGTAGTGCCTTACCATTTGAGGAATAACCTTAACCTTCCAATATCTTTTTGGATTTTGTTTTCAGGTATGTTCCTTTTTTTAGCTTTTGCTTGAGTCCTTTAATATTTCTCATTTTTCATTTCATGATTCCAGTTCTTGGGGTTTACCTTGTTTTTCCTCCTTGCTTGTTATTAGGGTTTATGCTATTTCCTTTCTGTGATAGCTCCTCTCTCACACTTAAATGCTTCAGCCTCTTTGCATTTGGGACACTTTTTGTTCTGACTTGAAGACATTCATCCTTTCCTGTCTTGTTTCCTGGCTTAGTATTTATTTGGCCTAATTTTGGATCAGACCCCTTACATTATATTTCACTCTCTGATTCCCCTTTATTGCATCCTCATCTTTTTCTCACTACCCTCTTGTATTCCCTCTCTTACCTCTTTCTTTTGTATGAGGTACTTCATCGTCCTCCAGAAGGGTTTTTTCTTTACCAGCTTAACTTTTTCCACTTCTGCTCTGACCTTCCTTACTTTATTCTCCTGATGTTGGGCCTGATGTTGGGTTGTGCTACATTCCTGTTTACTGTCCTGATGTTGGGACTTGTTGGGTTGTGCTACATTCCTGTTTACTGTCCTGATGTTGGGACTTGTTGGGTTGTGCTACATTCCTGTTTACTGTACACCTTCCTCGTCTTCCATACATGGTCTTTGTTGGACCCCTTGTTTTCATCCAGAAGTCTTAGTTAGGGGTTATTTTTCTTTAGAGACCTGGACTGATGATGTAAGACTTTAGTCCTTGTTATATTCCCTTTACTTATGTTTCTCGTCTGGATCTGTCTATCCATAATCTTCCCATTCCATGTTCTAGGCCTTCCTTTTTTTTTAGTGACTATCGAGTCATGTTCAGCATTGTGGGTACCCAACTCTTCTTCTTCTGCTGCTGTTGGTCTCATTTTCATTTCTCCACCTTTTTTCTCTGTTCATCCATATCTCATCCAAATACTCTAATAAAATTATATCTATTTTTCTGTGGATAACTGTTTACGTACTTGTGTAATACAACCATTCAAATGACTGATATATGATAACTGTCCTATTGAGTAAAACTGATATGTCAAGCTATACACTTTAACTACGGTTTATACTTACCTGTACATCAGTTTTGATGAAGTGTTCATGCTCATCTACACATTACGTACAGGTGATGCCCAAACTTTGTTATCACCTGATCTTTCACTACCACAAGAGTCTCTTCTTGTGTCAGTTTCAAAGCAGATTCAATTGTTCTTCTATCTTTGCATGCTACATGTAACTTACCTTAACTAGATTTATGTAGTGTACTGTAACCTTTACATGTTGCTTAAGGCTGACATATAGACAGGTTTAAAGCAAATTTATGGAGTACCTGACATGTAAAAATTACCTATGCAATACCTTGTCCTTCATTATAGTACTTACATATAGTATTTACAAGTACCTGTGGTATTTTAGACATGTGGCAGGAATTTCCAATTTCCTTCTATTGACATATTGTATGACTGTGAAAAATTCACAGGTTAAAAAATAGTACATACAGAAACAACAGATGCCTATTGGTGGTAAGAAGGTAATCCATTTTTATGTGTTGGAGACTAGGATTGAGTGACAGTAATATATTGTATTTATGTACTACAGGTAATTTGTCAGTAGAAATAGGTGTGTGAACAAGTGATATTTTAGAGTATATCAAATGTAAATTAAATAGTATTCATAAGTTTTATGCACAAGCACTAGTATTCTAGGATGCTATTAAAGAAAAGAGTAATGATGATGTGTACAAGTATGCTCTTAGGAAAATTATTATTTAAAAATTGTATGTATGCAAAAGGAATTGGATAGAGAGAGAGAATGTATGATTTATTTAGAAAGAGAAATCTTCAAATATTCAGTTAAGCAGTAGATAAATATTTATGGAGAAAGCTCATTGGTAAAGAATGGTTATGAATGCAGCTATTTTGCTAAAAAAACCATCTGTGGAAAAGAAAAGATGTTAAATAAATATGATAAAACATTTTTTTACAGGTTAACCCAGTAAATTGAGCGTACAAAGCCAACATCACAGTGATTTAGTTTGTGTATTATTATTGTTTTTTTTTAAATAGAAAACATCATAAAACCCATTTTGGGTGAAATGTGAATTTGACTTTCAAGTAATTTCAATCTTATCATCCCAGCTCAAAATATATAATAACCACTCATGATGTTTAAAAGAATGCAGGATCCATTCCTGATGTCCACTTTCAGAAAGTATCAGGTTATTGAGTTTATTTTCTAACATATAATAGAAAATATTACCCAATGGAGCTTTATATGTTCTAGTTGAATTAGCTTCTATGATGTAATTTGTAATGTACATATATCCTTACCTTTATCGTTGCAAAACAGTTTGAAGCTCTACAGTTAGATTGAGTAGTTATTGGTTTTGATCACCATGTTTTTATCTAAATACATCTGTATTGTACATCATAGTAAAATGTTTGTTATTAAAAAGAAAGATTGTGATAACTTATCATGTTGGTTGATGAATTGAAAGGAGATTCTGTAATTTTACAAAGATTTCGCTTATAGTATTAATATACAGTGAAACCACGATTTAAAGCAAATTCGGATATAATGCAATGGGTCATTAACCCTTTCAACATAGGCTTGGCCTCTGGGACCGACCTCGTAACGTTCAAGCAAGGAACACTCGAACAGTTTTTTTTAAGAAATAAACTGCAAATGATGATTAATAATATTCTTGAATGTTTTTATTTGTTGTTTTGTTTATTAAAAAGCCTACAAAAAAATAATTTGTGTTTTAATTTCTACTGTAACAACAGCGATTCATTCACAAAATTCTTTAGGCAGAGATAATTTACTTGCCAGAAAGGGAACTTGTAAAAAACTAGTCAAAGAAGGCGAAAATAGAGGTGTTTTAGGATGTTAGGTCAACACTGGGTCAGTTTGAACAGCGATTTTCTTGAACCCCGATTTAGCATGACCCCACTTGTTTCGCGACATTTTATGGACCTCAACAATCGCGTTATAACGGGGCTAGACTATATTACTTAACCAAGGTAAATGTTCTTATCCTAGTGTTTTTATTTATAATTAATTAGATATAACTTTGTAACTCTAACTTATGCATTTTTTTTATAAGCACTTCAAAATGTTTTGAGGCATTTACAAAATAATACTATTTTTAATACGTTTTTTTTTTCTCAAAGCATGAGTAATGTTGTACTATAAAATTGAAATAATATAAACATGGTATATTTTTTACTTTTTATTTTTTTAATCATCTAACTTGTGTACTAATTTCTTTTATTTAATATTCTTTTATTTGTACAGAGATGTGACTACAGTGTCATCAGAAAACATCTGCAGTCAAAATATGAATATGTTATAAGTGTTTGTCTCTCTGATACTCAAATCAAGCTGTATCAATACTTTCTTGACAACATGGCTCAAGGAAAGCAGACTGGTGGTAACAAGGCTGCTTCTGCCCAGTTGTTTTCGGATTATAGTGCCCTTCGTCATATATGGACCCATCCTTACATCTTGTATTTGAATAAGATTCGTCAGGCTAACAAAATGGTAAAATGTTAGAACAGTCCTACTAACTTTGTATAGTTACCAATGTAAAACATGTATTTCTTGAGACAGAACTTTTATTTATTTTTTTGACCACATTGTTATTTTAGAATCAAATGTTTCTGTCAATATAGATTTGTTTACTCTTAACTCATAACATTTTGTGTACCGAAGCTTGTTTCTGAAAAATTTTTGTTAGTGATGAAACTTAATATCCTCAATATTTGAATTTTTCTTATCACACTATTTGAAATGAAAAGAAAACTATGTTGGAAGTTAAAACTTTACTGAAAACATAAGCCCAACAGCAGAAATACTAAGTATTTTTTTGTTATTATGTGGAAACAAATTATACATCTAAATGCAGAATATCTACCTAAAAGTAATGTTTTGTGAAGCCATAAAATCAAAAAATAAATGATAAAATTGGAAGCATTTGAATTGTTAAGTATTTTTAAAGTAATTTCTCTACAAAGATTAAGCTTATAATATTAATATACAGTGAAACCACAATTTAACGCGATGGGTCATTAACTCTTTCGACACAGGCTTGGCCTCTGGGACCGACCTCGTAATGTTCAAGCAAGGAATGTTATAGTTATTGTTTGAAATTTCTATTAATAATACGTAAAAGTTGAAAGTTTATTGTTTATTGGGAGTTTGATTTTTTTTTCTTTATTCAATAGTTGTATGACTCGGATGAATCATTCATTGATGATGCCTCAACACATTCTGAATCTGATGAAAATATTATTTGTTTAGAAAACCCAGAGCCAGGCACCAGTTCAAAGATGTAAGTAACATTCATGTTTCAGGACTAATAATAAAATATGATTTTAACTATATTTTAGTATCTACAGCCAATCAATGATCCAAATAATTGAATATCCATAAGGGTTCAGGATTGAAGTGTGCATAAAATACTTTTTTACACATCAGTATGTAATGAATCAGTTGAGAATGTTGACTCTTTAGTAAAACTATAGCCAAACAATAATTCTATGAATTAAACCAATTTCATATGTCAAGAATTTGTAGGAGTGTTGAAGTAGGAAGTACTTATTAACATACAGTATAAATTTAAATAGTTTTATCTGAACATAAGCTTTGTAGCATTTTAAAAAGAAATGTTAAAAAAATGTTGATTAATGTGAAATATTTAATTTTTCTGAGCTTGCAGGAACGATGATGATAGCAGTGAAAAAGAGGTCATAAAAAAATGGGAAACACGTAGACAAGGTACATCTTTATTTTCACATATAATTTTATGACGACAATAAATTTCAGTTTTTTTTTATTTTCTCATGAGACATTTGTATCATAAAAACACTTTCAAAATACTTACTTTTTGATGTTTTTTATTTCTTTTAATAAAACTAAGGTAATACATTACAAAATCGTCATCTTAAACAACATTCATTCTAAAGTGTGAATTTTGTCAGTCATGATTTATGGATGATCTTAGATATCATGATTAACAATATTTTAAATAAACAAATATTACATTTTAATGAATAATCTTAAGTTGTTATCCATCTAGCAAGGGCTTTTTTTCATACTGGTAATTTATGCACTTTTATCATAAACCTAACTGTTATCTAAGGGGCTAAATTTGCTGATGTTTTGAAGCATTTGAAATTAGTCTCATGTTATGGTACCATAAGTAAGATGTTCTTAGTTTTGTACAATTACAGTTTATTAAGATAATTTGAAAACTTAATTTTTCATTATTGGAGACTAATAAACCAAATCTAGATTATCATTGGGAATTTGAATCTTTTCTCTGAGTATAATCTTTTTTTAACAACTTTTATGCCCAAAGTTGTGAGAAACATTCCCCTGAGACATTTTTTCTTTGGAATTATTTTAAGTATTACCTCAAGATCCAATCAAAAACCTTTTTTATTATCTCAGCTACAATTTACTTATGGTTGTAAAAGGTTTTGTTTTTGTGAGAGAGACTGGAATTTAATGACCATTGTCCCTACTTATCCAAGCCACCATCCCTTATAAAATCACCAGTCCTTCACATCTTGTTTAATAAATTACTTTGCTGAAAAGCCAGAAATGTTCACATTTTAACAACTAATTAACACCAGTTTTAAAGTTTTTGCATGTATTTAAATTTCTCAGTGATATTAAATGGATTTTATCATCTTTTTTTATTTGAATGGTTTGATGACAAGTATCTATATGCGTAAGAGAGTAATGTGTGCGCGTGCAACTGAACAGTTAGTTATCCAGTGTGAAACTGAAATTATTGTAGGTGTTATATCTCTCTTTGTTCGTTTGTTAATTTTCCTGCGATACAAGTTCTTTCTTAAACAAAACTAGTTTGTTCTTTCTCAATACAACTTTGCAATACACAGAATTTCCACAGTCAGTTTAACTTAACTAATTTTATAAAAACACGCTATAATTCACAGGGATTCACACACTTTACTTACGACTTGACTCGATTATCTCTATCTTCAATCTCCCTATCTATGCAATTCCGCTCTTTCTGCTTTATTTGCTGGGCTTATATACTAAAAAAGAGGGCACCTCCAACAGACTAGAGTTACCAGGACAATTCACGATCCTTCGAGAATCTCATCACGTGTTACCAGCATCACGTGACTTCCACTGTCATAACAATATAAATATTTTTGTCCAAAAAATCTGTTACATACCCTTTCAAAAAGCCATCAGTTGTCAGTAGCATCACATTACCTACAAAACACCAGACAATGTCAAAATATAATCTCTGTTCCATCACAACTTGATATTTTATCATAACATATTCAACCCTCTGTATAGTTGTCCTAAATTTCACTTTTTAAATTTTACTGTATTATTTGTAATCAACATCACTGAATATGTGATAATCATTTTGTGGCGTGCAGTTGTGTGTTCTCAATAAACCCCACAAAAAACACCTTATTCATGAAATGTAATGAGTATTTACACTTACACATGGTGTAAAGTTTATTCACTAAATAAAATCTGGTGAATATACAGCAATAAAGCTATGAAAGTGCTTCATCTGTTATAGGTGCAACTCTATCTAACTAACATCCCAACAGAAATCTTGATATTGTATACCCTAATCAGGTTCCAACTAAAATAGCATTCTTTTAACAAGGCTATTTCCAAGTAAAAACAACTAAATATCTCTTCAGTCACTATGAAGGTAGATATAAATTTAAATATGACATTTTGGTCTCCAAACATGTCATGTCTATAGTTATGTAACCACATTTTGTAGGCAAATTTTGTTTTTTGACCACTTTATATTATGTTAAATTATCTGATACCATGTTGTTTTATTAAGTAGTGTCAAACTGTCTGCTACAAGCCTCTGCTAAAGTTAATAGTTAATGACATTATCAAATTAAGGAACTTTTTCCCATAATTGCTTAAAATTCTGCCACAGAGAGTTTTGTCAACTGTACAGAAAATATTGAAGGATTCCCTTAACATTTGATAACCAGATGGCACTTTAGAGACAGAATAACGCAGTAGAATTTGCAAATATTTTAGTCACAATGATGCACTGCTTCAACATTTACACCTTTCTTGAAATTGGCTATGAATTTTCTGTGCATATTGCTTGCATAGAAAAACCAAGTTTAAAGAGGGCAAATATATCTTTTATTGAGTAGAATTGTTGAAGAATCCTAGAATATATTGACAATACTGATCTTTTTTTTTTTTAACTTAAAGGCAGCAGTTTAATACTAGGTGTATGGGTAGGATCAAAGTGTGTATTCCATGACTTTTTACAGTGCTATTTAACATGATATTTGATTTCAGAGTTATCTTCTGTCCATTTGATCCTAAAGTGTTGATTTAGTGAGTCTTTATGGTAAATGTCAGATACAGCGTACAGGAATAGTGAAAAAACTGTAGATATGCATTATAGAGGTTATGCAAATGCAATATTCAAACTGTACAAAATACAAAATTACTTTTAATCTTCACCTGAGCATCACCTTGACTCTATTTGTCAAAGGCTAAATTAGACTGACATTGTCAATTTGCAGACCAATTTTGAGAATAAGTACTTTTGTAATACACATGATTTTTTTTGTACAACAGACTAGTACATTGTTATAGAAGTTTGCCACATTTCATGTAGAATCATGAAATAAATTTGAATTGTAGTCAATATTTCTTCTTCAATTTTGGGGTTGGTCCAACAGTTAAGGATTAAACTGCAATTTATTCTTTTTGATACTATTAAAATAGCATTGTTTTTTCACATGCCTATTAAAAATGTATAAAACAAATAAAAAATATACATAAAAAAAGGATTTGTTTAGTATCTACAAATTTAGATGTCCAAGAAATAATTAATATAGTTATTAATTTTTGCATTTTATAAGACAAAAATATATCAGTCACTAGAAAAAAATGTTTCAGAGTTACTATAATTTATTCAGTTTTTGAGGTAAGCTATAAGTAGTTCAAATTTGAAGCTTTGTACTGTTAGTTTCGGTTTTAGTGAAAGCTCCTGAAGAAGCTGTAAAATGAAACACTGAGTGTTTAATTAAATAAAAACAATATTTTGGTGTTACTAGGTCATTTATTTCTAGTATCAATACATTTTTTTGGTGATGGATACAAAATAAATGAGCAAAAATTGTCAAATTACACATCCAAGAAATTTTTGATTATTCACTTTATCCAATTCATCTTAAAATAAGCTACTTCATACCTGGATTTATTAAAGAATCCATTGCATTTTGAAACATACGACTTTTGGCCTGGCATGGCCAAATGGTTAGGGCACTCGACTTGCAATCTTGTGGGTCACGGGTTCAAATCCCTGTTTCACCAAACATGCTCGCCCTTTCAGCTGTGAGGGTGTTATAATATTTTGGTCAATTCCACTGTTCTATGGTAATAGAGTATCCCAAGAATTGCCAGTGGATTGTGATCACTAACTATCTTACCTCTAATCTTTCACTGCTACATTAGGGATGGCTAGCACAGATAGCCCTTGTGTAGCTTTGCACAAAATTCATAACAAAACAAACCATATCACTTTTAATTTTTAGCATTACTTTGAAACATTTTAGACATATTTTTGTGAAGAATGAATGGGATGTAGAAGTTGTTACAAAATTCTGTACATGAGTGTATAACATGTGTTTTGATAATGACCAGTGCCTTAACTGTCTCACATTCAGACCTGGGTTTCTCACCTTGCACAAACAAGAAGTTACAAAATTCTGTACATGAGTGTATAACATGTGTTTTGATAATGACCAGTGCCTTAACTGTCTCACATTCAGACCTGGGTTTCTCACCATGCACAAACAAGAAGTTATGTAGAAGTTACAAAATTCTGTACATGAGTGTATAACATGTGTTTTGATAATGACCAGTGCCTTAACTGTCTCACATTCAGACCTGGGTTTCTCACCATGCACAAACAGAACTTTTGAGAGAGTTTGGCAGCAGGAGAATATGTGTTACAACAATTAGGAAATCAGGTAGGCCTGTTACATTTATGATTCGGAGTGAATGGCAGTTTGAGGCCTATATCATTAAACCACGATGTTTTGCACTTCCCAAGAAGTTTTCTCGGGACACTGGAACAAACTCCCAAAAAAATGAGACTGTTCCAACAAAATTGGGATGTCTGGTCACCCTGACACTAAAGGTCTTGACATGAGTAAAAAGGCCACTCCTGTACACCTAGGTTTGAGTAAATGTAAAAGTAATAAACGAAAATAACCTTGAGTACAAAATGCAGTGTGAAGATATTTAAAAACTACCCTTTAACAGCAATAATGATTTTAATGACACAATATACAATGATATTTTTTACTATAATCAAAAATACAATAAACAAAATGAATCCTATAACACAGACAATGTAATTACAAGCACAAAAAAAATACAAAATAGAAATCATAAGATTTCTAAATCTGACACTAAATTAAAATATACTCATTACACTTTAATTAAAAGAAACAGAAAACTCAAAACATACTGAGATCTATATACAGTGTAAGAAAACAAACCCCTTAAAATAACACTAAAGAAAGAAAACACCTGTATATTGCACACAAAAACAAGAATCAAATAAGCTGTTTAAACATGTGTTAAATAAATAAAATATGACTGTAATGAACAGATACATATATATATAACACAATTAAGTGAAACACCTTGAAAATAATGCATACAGTAATAATATAAGACCAAAGAAAATGTATTTACACTTACACATACAAAAAAGAGAGATACCCGTAGAATAAAATATACGGAGGTTGATTTAAGCATAGTCATGATAATAAATGCAAATCACCAAAAAAAAATTAAATGCAGGATTACATATTGAAATAAAACACATATACTTAAAAAAATAAATGAAGAAAGAACCTGTTCAAAATATGCATACCAAATGACAAACAAAAGGTCCAACTCCCTTCATTTTAACCTTGTCAGTAACCCACTGAAACAGCATTTGGCTGACAGCTAGCCATGGTGGTGGCATAAATAGTATCGTAGGCTCGGCCAATGCTTTTCTTGTCTGTGCTAGCAGATTTCCTTTTCAATTCTGGAAGGCAGGGTGTTCCTCTAATGCAGCCAGTCCTCCTCTTAGTCATTCAAGGTGTAAACATCAGTCCACTCCACAGCCTTCTTCTGGCAAGGCTGCTCTAGCATTGGGATCTGCTGCAAAGTTGTGATGGTTTTATAGGTGGGTGATTGTTAGAAGGTTGATCCTTTTCTGATATTGCAATAACTTATGGGACCTCTTGAGCAGTGGGAGCCCTTCATTCATTTCAGGTTTTATAACTGCCGATGGTGTTACCAGGGCTGGATGTGCTACCTGGCCAGTCAGTGTGCTGTGGGTTGTCTTCTTGCCACTGATGGTGGTGGTGATCAGCAGAGTGTCCATGGCTCCAGGTCCAGTCAGTATACTGTGGGTTGTCATCTTGCCACTGATGATGGTGGTGATCAGCAGAGTGTCCATGGCTCCAGGTCAGTCCTCTTCCCTTAGTACTGGGAACGTTTTTTTGGATATGGTGGTCCTGTAAGAGGTGGGTGCAAGTTTATGCATTCTTGTCAACATCCACCGATAGGACACTTAACAGGTCAAAGGCTATGTCATCATGTTTGTTGCCTTGCATTCAAAATTTTATTGAACTACTATTTTATGAATTTATGTAATTAAATTTGGTATCAAACTGTAGATTGTAATTTCAATTTTTGTATTATACATTATTTAATTTCTTAATTTAAAACTAAATATAAAAAAAACGATTTTTGTGTGTCAAGTAGTATGTTGAATGCAGCACTGGTTCAAATTAGATGTTTCTGATGTCAAAATATTAAGTTTATAGTTTTGTACGAATTAGGAACTCAAATTACTGATATTGACAAGCTAGAATATAAAATGAGTAAATATTAAAAATAACCAATCAAAAGCTCAGAATGTCCCCATAGTGACTTTCTCAGCCATTTTTAAATATAATGGCATTATTTCTTTCTTTCGATACTAGACAGCATAGAGGTAAGTCGAGTCTTTAGTCTGCTCGAAATTTCATATTTTTTTTAGACCCAAATACAGCTTAGTTACTAAAATTGATAAATTATAATTGAGTTCTATGGTATTGATATAGTAAGTTATGATTTTTTGGTTATTTAAATGTATATATAAAAATACCTAAAAAAACTTTTTTCGTTTCACATCCTCCATGTGTCAAATTTCTTAAGGCTTAACGACAAGCAGCAACCGAGTACAATGGTAATAACTAGAAGAGATAATTCTTTGCTTTACTTCTTTATTTACTGTTCAATATTTATAGGAAAAATAAGTTTAATAAGTATTTGTAAATAGTAATAATCTATATACATATATAATGTATAATAATTGAAATATAACTGTATTTTACAAAATACCAGTCCACTAAAACACATCCAAGACAGGTCACTTTGTAGAGACCGAAGGTCAGTTTTATATTATTAGATGCAGTAACATGAGTGCTGTGTCATTGTAACTTCTGTATTGTTAGCCAGGCATGGCTGAAATGTCAATATAATAAAAATAATATATATATATATATATAAATGTATAATGTTATGAGATTTAAGCTATTTGGTCCGGCATGGCCAGGTGGCTAAGGCACTTGACTCGCAATCTGAGGGTTGCGGGTTTGAATCCCCATCACACCAAACATGCTCGCCCTTTCAGCCGTGGGGGCGTTATAATGTGACGGTCAATCCCACTATTCGTAGGTAAAAGAGTAGCCCAAGAGTTGGCAGTGGGTGGTGATGACTAGCTGCCTTCC